GACGGTAACCCAACGTAATCCAGGTCATTGGTCTAGGAATACAGGAGGGAAGGGGTGCTCTACCTCTCCCCAACCCTTGGCACGGGCCATCGGATTGCCCCAAACGACGGTAACCCAACGTAATCCAGGTCATTGGCCTAAGAATACGGGGGGGAAGGGGTGCTCTACCTCTCCCCAACCCTTGGCACAAGCCATCCGATTGCCCCAAACGACGGTAACCCAACGTAATCCAGGTCATTGGCCTAAGAATACGGGGGGGGGGGAGGGGTGCTCCACCTCTCCCCAACCCTTGGCATGGGCCATCCGATTGCCCCAAACGACGGTAACCCAACGTAATCCAGGTCATTGGCCTAAGAATACGGGGGGGGGGAGGGGTGCTCCACCTCTCCCCAACCCTTGGCACGGGCCATCGGATTGCCCCAAACGACGGTAACCCAACGTAATCCAGGTCATTGGCCTAAGAATACGGGGGGGGGAGGGGTGCTCCACCTCTCCCCAACCCTTGGCATGGGCCATCCGATTGCCCCAAACGACGGTAACCCAACGTAATCCAGGTCATTGGCCTAAGAACACGGGGGGGGGGGGAGGGGTGCTCCACCTCTCCCCAACCCTTGGCATGGGCCATCCGATTGCCCCAAACGATGGTAACCCAACGTAATCGGGGTCATTGGCCTAAGAATATAGGAGGGGAGGGGTGCTCCACCTCTCCCCAACCCTTGGCTCGGGGCATCCGGTTGCCCCAAACGACGGTAAGCCAACGTAATCCAGGTCATTGGCCTAAGAATGCCGGAGGGGAGGGGCTCCTTACCTCTCCCCAACCCCTGGCATGGTGGAACCGATTGCCCCAAACGACGGTAAGCCAACGTAATCGAGGTGGTTTTCCTAAGAATACTGCAGGGGAGGGGTGCTCTACCTCTCCCCGACCCCTGGCATGGGTCATACGGTTGCCCCAAATGACGGTAACCCAACGTAATCCGGGTCATTGGCCTAAGAATACCGGAGGGGAGGGGTGCTCTATCTTTCCCCAACCCTTGGCATGTGGGCATAGATTGCCCCAAACGACGGTAAGCCAACGTAATCCGGGTCACTGGCCTAAGAACAACGGAGGGGAGGAGTGCTCTACCTCTCCCCAACCCTTGCCACGGGGAAATCGATTGCCCCAAACGACGGTAAGCCAACGTAATCCAGGTCATTGGCCTAAGAATACTGGGCGGGAGGGGTGCTCCACCTCTCCCCAACCCCTGGCATCTGGGAATCGATTGCTCCAAACGACGGTAAGCCAGCGTAATCCGGGTGGTTGGCCTAAGAGAATCCGGGGGAAGGGGTGCTCCACCTCTCCCCGAACCTTTGCAAGGGTCACTCGGTTGCGCCAAACGACGGTAAGCCAACGTAATCCAGGTGGTTAGCCTAAGAAGGTTAGGGGGAAGTGGCTTTTCACCTCTTCTCACTAATCTTTGGGTAGGACGGTTGCTTGAAAAGTCGGTAAGCCAAGGTAATCCGAGGCCTTTCCGTAGTAATAATTCGGGGAGAGGAGAACTGGCCCTCAAACCACAAGCAAGGCGGATTACCTAGGTATGAAGTCGAGCTTGTCATGAGGTCCTATGAGGCACCGGCCCGGGCCACGGAGGGCGGCACTCTGTGATCCGGGGGGGAGCGTCCCGTGAGACGTGCGCATGGACTCTCTTCGGAGGGTTGGTGCGCACAGGCCCCAGCGGAGGGGGCGGGGAGCTCTCCAGGTGCGGAGGATCACCTGGGAAAATGGGGAGAGGAGGAACTGGCTCTCGAACCACAAGCAAGGCGGATTACCTAGGTATGAAGTCTAAGCTTGTCATGAGACCCTATGAGGCACCGGCCCGGAACACGGAGGGTGGCACTCTGTGATCCAGGGGGGAGCATCCCGTGAGACGTGCGCATGGACTCTCTTCGGAGGGTTGGTGTGCACAGACCCCAGCGGAGGGGGCGGGGAGCTTTCCAGGTGCGGAGGATCACCTGGAAAAATGGGGAGAGGAGGAACTGGCTCTCGAACCACAAGCAAGGCGGATTATCTAGGTATGAAGTCGAGCTTGTCATGAGGTCCTATGAGGCATCGGCCCGGGCCACAGAGGGCGGCACTCTGTGATCCGGAGGGGAGCGTCCTGTGAGACGTGCGCATGGACTCTCCTCGGAGGGTTGGTGTGCACAGACCCCAGCGGAGGGGGCGGTAAGCTCTCCAGGTGCGGAGGATCGCCTGGTAAAATGGGGAGAGGAGGAACTGGCCCTCGAACCACAAGCAAGGTGGAATACCCAAGGAGGAAGGTTACTCTTTGGGTCCGCTCGGTCCCTACAAACTTCTTGACACTGGTAATATGCGGTCGGTTTCGTATCCCAATCCGCCTATGGCTAGGTGGCCCCCCCTCGTTGCGAGGCGGCGTCATTGACCCATGGGTTGGGGAGGGTAGGATTCAGGCTTATTGGAACCAGGGAAAAAGAGGAGAACCCAATCGGATCACTCCTCGCAAGGGGTCTGAACCAACTGGGTGCTCAACCACTGCCATAAAGAAGTTGATGTCGGTGCAACTTGCAAAACTCATATGCAGTGGTTGAGACGGTCGACTCTTTTTCAGGGGGAAAGCTCGAAGCTCACTTGAGGCCAAAAACCTGGAATGAGACCCATGTTGACTGTGGACGATCTCGGTCGGACGCAGGACGATGCACGGGTACCTGAACATGTTAGTAGGTCAAGGACGGTGTGTCCTAGAGTTTTCTTAACGTGGAATGACAATCGGAAGCATGGTGATGCCACGTGGGAGTTAATGCTTTCGTGGTGCATGGGAGAAATCGCCGGACTAT